ATATGCTGCTAGTTGTTCATTTAAGTTGAAGGGCTCATTTTTATGTTGGTCAAACCATTTATCGAACTGAGCCCTCTTTTCAGGCATCATCCCATTAGCAAGGTAATCTTCTTTTGTCGGAAAGATTTCTTTCCCATAATTCTTTGGGTTGTTGGCCAGATGAGGGAAGAAAGGTTTGTCTTCCATTTTAAGAGCAAAGGCTGGTACTAGTGAAGCCAACGGCATTGGCATTAAATTGTATGTGTCTCTGAAGATGACCCAGCATTTTTTATTGTTCTTCACCTTCATCTCATACATTTTGTTACCTTTCTTAATCATTTCTGGGATTAGACCTTTGAGATACAATGCCTTGAAGACTAGGACCATATCAAACCTTCCTCCAAAATGAGAGAAGGCTATTGTATCAGTAGAAAAATTAGTGATCCAGGTTACAAAATCAGTCAGAGGATCATTAGTAACATTTTGTTGATCGACTTGAGTGTTGGAAAATGGTTGGTGGGAGAAGGTTATAGTTCGTTCTTCTCCGCAAATAGTACAATCGTTGTTTCCGTTACTAATACACTCGGGGCAGATGATTTTTGCAGATATAAAATTCACTTCATGTAATTTCCCTTTTTCGTCTTGCCTGTGTTGCATGGTTTCAAAGTCAAAAGCGATGACTCGGTAGGGTTTTGGCTTCCTTTGAGTTAGAGATTTAATGTAACAACCTCTTTTTGGGTCATGGAAGCTAAAGCAGGTGGTGCAGTAACGTTCTGAACAAACATGTCCACTGCGCCCATTCTTGTTGTTGTCCTTCACATACCATATCACTCCACATTTCTCACATTTTTTGGAGTTGTTGCAGAAATTAGAATTGATGTGATGGTCATAGCACTCTTCATTATTAAATTCCTTAAAACACCTATTACATAGTTTTGAGTAGTTATCTAAAGGCTGGCATGGGTAATTGGGTCCGATCCTGGAGCAATTTTGACATTTTGATGTGCAGGTGATAGAATGATCTTTTGGGCGGTTGTAAATTATCTCACATGATAGGCAATAAGGTTTACCAAATAAATCGCTTGCTTTTCTAACTCCATCAAAATGATTATTGTTGTAATAAAGAAGAATTGGAGTAGTGTGATTTTCATCCCCATATTTAAAGATAGGTTTTTCATCTAATTCTCCAAAAATAAAAACTTTAAACAGGCCATCATTCCTTGAATTCCAATAATCAACCACCTTGGGTACCCATTCATTTGCATCATATGTTGTTAAATCAAGAGGAGCTCCTACATTTTCCATCAAGAATGTTGTATCATGTTCCAAACGTTTCTTCATTCCTAATCTGCTATGCATATAGTCATAGAACTTCCATTTCGGCCATGAGCATGTTGAAAATTTAAAGGTGGCAGACAATGATCGAAATAAACAGTAGTTGTCTGAATTAATAATTTTAATGAGGTTGTGGTCTTTAACTTTATGTCGAATTGGTGATGGATTTTTGCCACTACCATTAATAGAACGTGTTGTAGGCAGATGTTTTTTGTCAATAGCTGTAACAGAAACGGTAAATGGTTCACCCCAAAGCATTCCCTGATCCTGTTTTTTAGATTGGGCCACTTTTAGAAATTGGTTAAGAATTGAATCCACCGTGTTGGGAGTAATTTCACGTATTGGAATCCAAATATCTGATTCTAACAATTGACTGCTCACTGTACAGCCAAGTTGATCTGGTTCAAGCTGATGACCATGACTCGTCTCCAATGTTTTGTCGATGCATTCTTGGAAAATTCCTTTTAATAAACCCTCAGGATCGGGTGGGATATTCGAAATTAAGAATTTAGTAGACAGTTTGGTAAGGTTAAATTTCCGGGTGATTTTGGTTTCTTCACCCAAATGTTTTACATAATCACCATCACCTTTCTGTAATAGATTATCAATGAAGAAATGTCGTGCTTTCTTCGAAGGTGGAGGAGACATTAATAATAAAATAAATTCAAAATTAGAGACTAATTCAAAAGTATTAAATTTCTTAGAATTTTAAAGAATGAAGAAAGAAATGTGAAATCCTTTTTTAAGAAAATATTCCATAAAATAATTGATGTGTTGTAAAATAGGTATTTCACTGAAATTCCATTTCATTATTTTCCAGTCGCGGGAAAAAGCCTAAAAGAAATTTTGCATAAAAAAGCAAAAGAATTTAAAGAGAAAAAGAAAGAGCGAGCAAGTTTCGTAATAATGTTTAGTTTCGTAATAATACATACCTTTGTTTTTATTCCTTAGGATGTTGTCAAAAGAAGAGAAATCCCTATATAAAACAATCTTTTTCTTTATTTCCAGTCAAGAAGAGGAATTTTAAAAATAAATTTAACATAATTTAACTAGATAGGAAATGTTTTAAATTTTAAATAATATTTTGAGAAAGAAAATTAGCATAATATCTGGTAAAGAAAAATTTTTAGGTATATAATTAGCAAGTTGTGAATGATGCGACGATGTTGTTTGTAGAATTTATTTTTTAAACTCTTAATTTTTTAAATTATTAGTGGGTAATTAATAGAGAGGGGTAATTATAAAACTTAATTTATTTTCATTTATTTATTTTTCCTATTACAGTAATATTTTGTTTTTATAATTATAGTCTATTTTCACTTTTCTACGCCTACTTTTTAATAATTTTTTGAACAATTTTTGCATGAGCTATTTTTTTACCTATTTATACTTTTTAAAGTTATTTCTATCTTCAACGTCTACTTTTTAAAAATTTACCCATTTTTAACTTTTCAACAATAATTTACAAATTTTTACAGTTTTTCTCTTGCATGACCTATTTCTAACCAATTTTCACTTTTCAACAATAATTTTGCAACATAATTATTGCATGACTGATTTTTACTATTTCTATTTCAACCGCCTACTTTTTAATAATTATTGTATTTTTTTTAAGTATAAAGGGTAAAAATAATAAAATGAGATATTGTAAGAAAAGAAATTTAAAAGTTTAAGAAACAGTTTTAAAAAGAAAAAATATGGGAAATCTTGATTGAACCGTTTGAAAACTACTTATTGAACCCTAGAAACTTTGGGAAAATTTTTAGAATAAAATTTGGTGAAAAATGTGGGGAATGGTATGGTAAGGTGTTTTTTTTTTAAAGTTCGCACCAAACCGGTTTGATCAAATTATCCCTTAAAGGGAAATCCTTAAACCTTTGGACTCTGACGACGGAATGGTTGAATGGTCGTTTAAGAAGGGGGAGGGGCTAAATGGTTGGACCCCGCTGCCCCCAACGACTTCTCGGGGGGGTTAACTACTTGTGATAACTAGGGCTCGGATTTATATTGAAATAAAATCGCAAAATATGGCCATAAAATATTGAAATAAGTGAGCAAAATATTGACAAAAATTGCCAAAAATTAGTGAAATATTGAAATAAATTATCGTTTAATCACTAGAAAACCCCCCAAAAAAGTTGAAATTTAACAAAAAAATGAAACATGTTTTTAAAATTTCACATTAGCTTTATAACCCGACGAATTGAGTAACTTTACGCTCTTGGACATTTTGCGATTGACAAAATGAGGTTGGGACATTTAGTGGGTTTTGCTCAATGTGCCATTTTTGAGGTTTTGCCCAACAAATTTTGAGGGTTTTGTTAATTGAGAATTTTTTGCCTGTTACAAAGAATGTCTAGGGAATAATTAGTGGGAAGGCAACGGTACTGTAGTGAATAATAGGCCATAATATCCCCTTTTCAGCGCCGCAGGCAAAATTTCTGTTAATTTTGGAAGACCAAGAACCCAAAATTTTCCATTTTTAGCGCCGCAGGCAAAATTTTTTAGATTTTTGGTTGTCAGGCGGCCAGATTTCTTCACTTTTTTCCTAAAATTTATGAAAAATCCCTAAATTTTGGTAAAAATATGAAAAAATATTGAAATAATTTGAAAAATGTGCCAAATATTGAAATAACTGGAAAATTGGCAAAATATTGAAATATATTGAAATGTAACTTCGTTCAAAATCATAGTATCGAAAAACTAATGGCATATTTGAGCTTCTCTCGCCATAATATATTCAGGAAAAAAAAATATATTTCAATACAAATCCGAGCCCTAGTGATAACTAGTGATCCGGCCGAATTTTTCCGGAGTCCGGATCCCAAATCTGGGTTTTTTTCGCAATCTCAGGACTAAAACCGGACCGGATTAGTCCGGAGAAATCCGACCGGATCCGGTCCGGCTCTAGTTGCAAATCCGGGTCCGGAAAAATCCATTTTACCGGTCACTAGTGATAACTCGCAGTGTAAAAAACGTACCATACAAATGTATTAAATAATATTTTATTTTACATATCAACGAAAATTAATTTAAAAATAATTAAATAAAAAATTATTTATCCTCTTATTCTATCAATTAAATATTTTCCTTCCCCTTCATCATCTTCCCCTATTTTTAATAATTTCTCTTCAATATTAATTTTAGTTGCAAAATCTCTCCTTTTTTCCAATAAAGGGCCAATAATTCTTTTTTGATTTAAATTCTTAAAAATTATTTTACAAAAATTACTAAATTAAATTTCAACCTTTTTAGGGAAAATATTCCAAATAAATATTCCTGTAAAAATCCCAAGAATATGTAAAATAATAGACAAAATTAAATGAAAATTATTTTTATCCAATAAAAATGCCAACATTTTTTAAATTAAAAAATAAAAATTTTTGAATAAAATTTTGAAAAAAAGAACGAGAAAAGTTGTGGTAAGAAGGAATTCAATAAAATAGAAATAGGTCAATCTTTGTATATTTTTTGATAGAAAATGCAAAAAATAAAAGGAAGGGATTTGGGGATTTTAATAAAAATAAAAATTTAAAAATAAGGCAAGTTTAAAAAATATCTAAAATATAGAAATTTAGAGAAGAGAAGTGGGGAACGGGTCGGGTTTTGATAAAGTCTAGTTTCAAATAATCCCCAGAATCAATCCTAAAATTATATACTTCCTTCCTTCCAATCAGTTCTTTTTTCTATGCGTGTTTAGATAAAAATTCATAAACAGTCTCATAAACAACCAACATAATTCCTCCTCCAGGACCAAGTCTCATTACTTAAAAAAATTTTTTTTAGAAATAAACACTTTATTAATTACCTTTAGGTAATAATCCCCTATAAAGTGCAGCTATACCCTCTTCTCGTTTAATTAATGAAATTGTTTGCCAAGTTGTAATATATGTTCTAGATTTTCCTTTTGGTTGGGGACCTTTGGAGATTGTTAAAATTTAGAAAAAAAATTTCAAAAAAATTTTTTAATTGCCTTGTATTCTACTTTTGGCGACATCAAAAGGAATATTTGCAATAGAAGCTATTGAACCAGAAATAAATCCAAGTCCAAGTTTTAGGAGTACACTACCCGATGAATTTGTTTGTGAGGATGATTGTTGAGTTGGGGCTAGAATTAAATAAATAAAATTTAGAGAAAAATAAACCCTCCTTTCCCTTCTTTCTAAAATTTTGTATAAAACCAAAATTTCCCTTTAATCGGACAACCATATATTAACTTTGTTTATATCTTCGAATAATGTTATCATTTTAGGTAATTTCATTCTCACGTAGAAATATGAAATATAGGGCCGGTAAACTAACAAGATAAATCTAAGAAATGATAATCCGTTGGGAAGTAATGCTAGCGTATCCAAATCGGAAAAAGTTCAAATACCCCTTTCCTGGGTCCGCTAGCTTTTTAAAAAAAAATTTTCCAAAAATCAAATAGTATAACCTACTTGAAATAATCAAAGTTTTCAAATTATGATATAAACCAAAATAAAAAAGATTCCAAACACCTTCAAAATATTTTTTAATTTTCAAAAATTTTTAAATTAAAAAACACCATGTCTCCATAAAGTAGCCCCAAGCCCTAAGTATAATCCATTTGTGCCCAAACCATTTGTTTTAATTATTTCTTTAGCCATTGTTACTGCACTTTTTTGCTTTATAAAAAAAAATAAATTTTATTTTTTTTTATTTAATAAATAAAAATTTTAATTTTATTCACTACTTAAAAATTGAAGCCGAAAGACTAGAAAAGACTATTGAGAATGAGGAGAGTTTTCTCTGTCTATTCTTTTTCTACACTATTTTATTTCACTTGCTAATATTTCTGGAAAGCATTTTCCGGATATTTTCATTTCCCAATTATTTAATTTTAAAAAACACTTGAGTAAGGGAAACATTCATTTCTGATTGAAGGCGAACTTTGACTGCTTCAAATGGGCAAATAACAAACTAAATTTCAAAAAATGTATTTTTTATTCCAAAATTCCTAACAGCTTCAGTAATTCCACTCATTAATCCAGCAAGTGAAAGTCTCTTTAAAAATTTTTATTTGTTTATTATTTTTAATTTAAAAAAATAAATTCACAGCATACGAAGGAATTTGAAATTCTTGTAAAGCCTCCAATAAACTTTTGTATTGATCAAACGTTGCAAATTTAGTTGCTCGTTTTGGGGTTTCGGCAAGTATTGGGGGAAGTATTCCTTTGTAGAAACCTTTTTTTAAATAGAAAAAATAATTAATAGAGTAGTATTTTTTAGATAGTCGGAACTAATTTAGGTATATGTCCTTAGGGCTGAAACCACCATCTGAAACCCCTCCTTCCTCCCTCTGTGGAAAACTAAATTTAAAAACACTAAAGTGAGAGTGTACACGGGAGGGTAAATATAAATTAAGGTCCGATTGTAATAATAAATCCCGATCAAAAAATTAATTTTCCAAATTTTGGCTAACATTTTTATTATTCAAAATTTCATTATCTCTCTCTTAACAACAATTAAGAAAAAACCTACCCAAAGGTCCTTCTTTTCTAATTATTTGCCTACAACAATCCAAAAGTCCCTTATAATGTCCCCCACCAATTTGAAGCCTTGTCTTAACCAAATCCAAAGGATGCATTAAACAAACTTCAATCATCCCTTAAATTTTAAAATATTTTAAAATTAATTTTCTTTTTTTCAATTTTACCAGCAGTTCCCCCAGCAACTAATTGACGTCCACCTTCCTTTACTCTTTCCATTGGGCACCAAATAAAAATTAAAAAAAATATTTTTTAAATGTAGAAATAAAAATATTTAAATTATTAAAAATATTTTTTAATTATTAAATAAAAAATAAATTTATTTATTAAAAAAATAAAAATAATTTAACAATCTTCAAACATTAACAAGTATTTTATGTTTTGTAAAATGCATCTTTTTAAATTTTATCATTACCAATTAATGATGCTTTATAATAATATAATTTATGAATTTTAAAATAATTAATTTAATTTTTAATAACGCTTATATGTATAAAATTTAAATTTATTTAAGGCAAAAATTATTTTATTTTTTATAAATAAAAAATAAATTGATTAGATCAATGAAAGGATTAAATAAAAATGCGAACAGCTTTTTTGTGGATTCGATTACAAAATGACTTTTTTTAGAATAATTCAACCGCATATACAGGGTGGGATTTAAGTCAGTGGATTATTCTATTTGGGCATTTCTGGAGCAAAAAGCATGCCGAATCCGATACGCAACATAGGAGGAGCTGAAAGTTGTTTTGAGCGGGACTGGAACTACTTATCCGATGAACAATGCGCGACCATTGTGAGTCACAACCGTAAGCGTTTGGATGCGTGTAGTTCAGACAGGGGTGGTCATTTTGAGAAATTACTTTAATAAAATGATTATTACATCCTATTGATTATATTTTATCATTTTTTCATGTTAAATAAATTTTTTTACAATAGATTTTATTAAAAACTTTTGTCGCCGAACTTTTGCCCCACCCTGTACATATTTTATAAGAACTCTGAATTTTTTGATAAAAAATAAAACTATAAATAATTTTAGAGTTGATTAAAATTCTAAACAATAAATTTTAAACAAAAAATAATAATAATTTAATAGATAAAAGTAAAAAATCAATTTTTTTGATTATTCTTTATTTCAAATAATTAAATAAAAGAATTTATTTTAATAAAATTTTATTGAGATTTTTTAAAGTATTTTTAGACAAAACTAAAAATAAATACAATTAAAATTTAAATGATTGAGACAAAAAAATAAAGAAAAAAAATCCAAAAAAATATTTTAATAAATTAGTCGTTAGGTTATGACTTAAAGTATTTAATTAATAAATTCTCTGAAATATTCTTAAAAAATTTTTTTAATTTCACAAATGGAATATATCCCATAAATAAAATCCAAGTAAAATTTCACAGAAACTTATTTTTATTTTCTTTCAATTCTTTAAAATCGTAACCTAACCACAACGCATTCTAACACTCCAATAATCCTCTGATAGAATAAAATTTTTCAAAACAATTAAATCAAAAATAAATAATTAAATCAAAGCCTTTCACCATCATAAAAACGATGCATGGAAGACAATGCCGCTCCCGCTGCAGCGGCTTCCGAGGCAACTGAAGCAAGTTGGGCTGCAGCTGGGGAAGTAGCAGAAGACCTCAGCGGTTGGTGTTGAGGAGAAAATTTGACAAAAAGTAAAGGAATATCCCCAACAGCTTCTTGAGACCATTGTTCGGCCCAACTCGTTGGTGTGCCTTTAAAAGTATAAAATTATTAAATTAAAATAATTAAAAAATCAGAAAATTACCACGCCCCAAAATCGTAAAAATCGCCACTCCCAAAAGCAATAATAACGCACAAATCAAAAATAGCAAACGCCAATGAACTAATACACTTCAAAAAATAATATTTTAAAGATCATTTAAAAAAAATTTTTTTCAAAAACTAAATGTTCCCTTCACTCTACTCTCTATCTGAAAGGAACATAAAAAAATTTTAAATTACCTTGTTGCTGAAATATTCGAAAAAAGAAGAGTTGGAATTAAAGTATAGGCTAATCCAAAGGCTAATTGCATATGAGAGATAATATATTGAGTAAAATGAGTTCCACCACTAATAACGGCTGATTTAATAAATCCAAGTGAAGTAAAACCAAGTGGAAATAATGAAATTGAAAGTAGAATAAGTCTCCTTTTTTTAGAAAATTAAATATATTATTGAAAATTAAAGTATTTTAAGGAATTCAGAAAAAAAACATTTAAAGTATCCAAAATATTAAAATATTAAATAACCAATTATTTGTAAAAGGTTGTTCTTCATTTCCAGGCAACATTGCAATAAACAAAAAAATAATAGCAGAAATTGCAAATGCAAAATTATTGAATATTCGAACAATTAAAGTATTGTGACGAAGAATATTTAATTTCATTTTATGTAAAATAAATGAAGAAATAAAATGACAGAGAAGAAAAGTTAAAAACTAAAAATTAAAAAATTATTCCCCAAAAAAACAAACCAATAAAATAAAAGGAACAGTCAAATACCACCAATCAAGTGATTGTCTCATAATTTTGTGTAAAAATATTGGATAAAATATTAAAAGAGTTAATATAGCAAAGAAAAAACAAAATGAGGATATCCAAACAGCCCAAGCAGAAGTTGAACGAAGTAAAAGACAAGCAAGAGAATTGGGCAAATTTAATTCTAAAAGTGTGTGTTTTTGCTGTAAAATGAAGAATAAAAAAGATTGTTTTTTATAAGAAAAAACAAACACGAGGCTTTCTTTTAACAATATAATGCAATTCTTCTCCGTTAACTAATTTGTGTGTTTGAGGCTGATCCCTTTAAAAATAAATAAAAATATTTAATTTTGAATAATTACCTGTAAAGAATAAGCCAAATAAATGCAAGAGAAAGACTCAAAGCTAAATAAAAAATAAAGTCTATATTTTTAGTTGAAAATTAATAAAACCCCAACATTAAAATTAATTGACGAATTAAAAATAAATTTAATCAGAAACAAAGGTTTAGAAAAATAAACAGAAAACCAAATTTTCAGGAAAAAAATGAAAAAAAGTCCTAATCTTCAATATTCTTGTTTTTAAATTTATTTTTAACTTGTTAGGAAAAAATATTTTGCCTTATCAACACTTTAAATATAAGATTATTTCCTCACCTCCATGAAAACCAAAAACAAAAATTCTACTTTTTGCATCAAACCAAAGAAAACAAACAGTAAATATCCAACTTATTATTGGGCCAAACTAAAAAAATTTTTAAAAAATATTTTTTGATCATAAAATTACCAAAAGTGCCAAAAATCCAGTTAAAACAAAAAAATGTTGTTCACCAACACTTGCCCATTGTGCTGACATTTGACCAAAAAATGTAAAAACAGGAGAGAAACAAATACCCAAAAGAATTCTTGAGACCATAATAAGTGGAAAAGGGGCATCTTTAAAAATATTTAAAAAAATATTTTAAATTATTTAAAATACCCAATCCAAGAATAAAAGGAAATCCTCCAGTAATTATTGAAGAAATCAAAAGAGCAATAAAAATAGGCAAATAAGAGCCAAAACGGCGAAGAATAACATATGAAGGAAAATGTGAAATCTTTAAAAAAATTAAAATATTTTTTAAAAAAACTTTATAGGCACACAAACCGTTATTGCAATACCCGGAGAACTAAAAAGCAAACTTTGAGCAAGTCTTCGAATTTTTTCTTGAGCCCAATTGAATTCTATAGTGGGCTGAAATGTTTCTTCAAAGAATTCTTCATTGTTATCACTATATTTTGCAATTTCTCTTTTATGTCTAGAACTATCTAAAATTATTTATTAATTTTTTTTGAAAAAAAACAGAATTTTTTAAATTAATTTAGAATCAGTCATAATTACTCGTCAAAAACATGTTCAAAAACAAATATAAACATGTTCAGAATAATTAATGAAAAGTAAGACATTGTCAAAAATATAAATTTAAAAGACTTGAATTAAATTAGAATTTCGAAAAACATCTCAAACATGTCTAAAAACAGAAATATAAATTTAATTCTAAACTCTGAACAAGATTACTGCTAATTCATACAAACATGTTTGTGAACATGTTTTTGTTTTTGCTCATTTTGAGGACTACTATGCTTAAATTTTATTTGTCTCTGTTAAAATACCGATTTAATTTTTTTCACACAAACATTTATTTACCTTTAACTCCTCCCAAAACATCCAATATATTCTCCTCATTATTAATTTTATTCTGATCCAATTGTTTCACTTCATCTTCTTCCTCTTCCTCTTCAATTTCATCTTCATGTTCAAGTTCACTCCAAAAATCATTCAATAATCCCTCATTTGTTGTTGTTGTCCCCAAATGTTCTTTTATTGTTATATTATTTAAAGTATTTGTTTGTTTTGTTGTTGTCCTTTTATTTGTAAAGTGTTGTTGTTTTTGTTTGACAAAAATATTTTTTTCTTCTTCTTCTTCATTTTTAGGTGTAGGGAAGGAGGTTGTTTGCCAATTAACATTTCCAATTCCTAAATAAAATTTTAAAAATATTTTTTTTATTTTTTAAATATTTTTATTTTTGTATTTATTTTTAAATTTAAACTTTAAATTTTTTACACATTTATTTACGTTAACTAATATTAAAAAAACAATTTTTAATAAAAATTTCTAAAATATCAAAATGCTCCCAGAAATTTAAAAACAGCAAATTCATCGTTTATTTTCTAGTTTTGCTTTAATTTTTAAGTCTAACTCAATTAGATATATCGGGTGAGCTTTCCCAAGCCTTCCCGTCTAATTATTAATATTCGTCCGACTTTTTAATAATCAAAAAAAAGTTTTCTCAATTTAAATATTTTAATTTCCACCTATAAATTTAAACAATTTTTATTATTAAATATTAATTACACACATTTAAAACAAAACTTTTCTTAATTTAATTACATCAATTAATAAATAAATTCCTTTTTTAAGGTTTTTTTTATTAATTTCCCCAATTTTTTCCTCAAAAAATTTATCGGAGTGATTCATCATTTCACAATAGCGAATACAAAAAAATTGTCGCGCAGTAAAGACATAAGACCTAATAAAAAACTTTTTTCGCATTCCTCTTTTTTCCATAAAAAATAATTTTATAGTATTCTTCTTTTTTATTAGTAAAATAATTGAAAAATTATGTTAGAGCATGGAACCGTTAGGGCGCTACTTTAATAAAAATTGTTTAACAATTATCTAAAATTGCGAAATTCTGTAAGGGACTTTCTGAATGTGAATCTCTCAGAAAATTTCAGACTTTGTACCCTATTAGCTGAGTAAATTTAACAAAAATGATGATTCCTCCTTATTTCTGTAAATCAAAAATTATAAAAAATTTTAAAAACCCCAAAAATATTTATAAAATATTAAAGCCATTCAAATTAAACCAATCTTCACTTTTTTCAACATACGCCCAATAAAATTAGCGCCGACAACACCAAACTTAAAATGTTTTTTCTCGCTTCAAAATGCGCGTATTACATCATAAACTACTTACTACTACTACACTACATCCTAAAAATAGTTTTTTCCTAACTAAAAATATTATTTTTTAATTCTCGTAAAATCAAGTTTATTTACTAATCACGGGAGGGCCAATTCTTTATTTTAAAAAATTTTTCTAAATTATTTTCTTCGCCCAATTCTTTTTTAATATTTTTATTTTTCTCCCGCCCCAATTTTCACTTTCTCTCCTAAAAATTTACTACAAAACTTTTTTTCAATTTGACAAACTCTAACAAATCCAAATAAATATATAAAAATATGTATTATTTCAATTTAAATCAATCAGTTTCCCCCACTAAATTCTTTTTTTTACCAACTTCCAAGTCCTCCTCCCTCCCCTTCTTTTTTTTCAAATCAAAAATCATTTTTGTTTAAAAAAAAGAAAATTCAAGTTGGTGACAAATCACTTTTTAAATATAAATGAACATAAAATTGGCTACCGTTTTCTTTTTTTATTTTAATTGTTTGGCCCAAAATTAGAAATTAAAAAAATTTTTCTATCATAAAATTAGGAAATAAGAACAAAAATTAAAAATTTAATTATATATAAATTTAGAATTTAAATAAAATTATTTTCATTTAAATAATTTTTAATAAATTTAAGAATTAAGATTTCCTCGTATTATTAAAAATTTAAGAAGAGCCCGGTTAAGAATTTTGTTCGAATTTCAAAATTTTTTCTTGTGAGATTTAAAAGTTGGAAAATTTTATTTCAAAAAAGTTCTAGTAATCCCTCTCTCTTTCAAAAATATTCCAATGTCAAATAATTTTGAAATTTACGAGATTTGATAATTCCTTAGTAAACAAAAAAATCATTTCATTCTTCCCCAATCTCAAATTTATTTTAAATTTAATATTCTATATATCCATTTTTATGAAACTTTTTATTTTTAATTATTACAAGAGAGGGAGAACTTTTATTTAAAGATAATCTTTTAGTTTTTTTTTTAATTTTTAAATAAAATTTTTTAAAAAGACGATTAAATATTACTAGACTGCGCAAATGATTATATATAATAAATAATTTATTTCGAAAAATGTAGATAAACTTCAAATAAATATTACGTGTTTACATGAAGGCTAGCCTATGTTAACTTCCGGAAATAATTCAGGAAATCATTAATTGATTATTAAAAATATTTAATTACCCAAACTGTAATATAAAATGAAAAAAAAATTAATTTTAAAATAATTAAAAGTTGTTTGTTTAGCTTTAATATCCCCCCCCCCTTCACTCCTCACAAAAAATCTCATTTATTAACTTCAATTCTTCTCCAATTCCCCCCACAACAAATTCACTCAATTTTTAAAAAATTCTAATAAATTCCCAACAAAATTTTCAGAAAATCAAAAATTAAATTATGAACTTTCAATTATTCGCAGCCTTTTTTGTTCTATTAATAGGAACAAATAAAGCACTTAAATGCACATTTTCGTCTATAGATATTACAGAAGCTGAAAGTCCAGAAGAACAATTATCAATTAATAAAACAGCAGAAACAAGAGAATATGAATGTCCAGCAGAGGTGAAAAAAGATTAGAAGAATAATAGAAAAGAATCTTTTAATTTTTTAGGACAAAAATTGTATAAATCTAAAAGGTTTTCTAACAAAATTAGACCCTCAAACTGGCGAACAAAAAAATATGACTTTTGGATTAAAAAGTTGTGAAAGTGATTTGGCACGATATATGCAACCTATTGAACAACAAATTCAACAAGAAATAAATTATACTTGTGGGGTGAGAATATTAAAGATTTTAAGAAGGAAGAGTCATTTTCAGTTGGAAGGATTCTTAAAATTTGCCCTGTAATTTAGATTGAAAACATAAAAGCCCGGGTTTAGGAGTAGTTAAAAGGTCGAAATTACTTAAGTATGGATTCTGTTTTCAAACAAAAAATATTTAGGCTTCTGATGACGACGAAAACAGAACAGCAGGACCATTAACTTATTCAATTGACTGTTGCTCAACAGATGAATGCAATGTTAGTAATGATGAAAAAAATAATAATACAATGGAAATTTCATTTCCAAATGAAGAAACAATAACAGAAATATCCCAAAAAGACGAAGAAAATAATAAAGAATTTAAAGAAAATAATAACCAAGAAAATCCTCAAATATTTGAAAATGGAGGAGATAACAATAATAATTTAACAATAAATGAAGAAAGCACAATGTCTCCATTTTTGTTGGACAATTCAACAGAACAACAAATTTTAGAAGAACAAAATAATACTAACACAAACAAAACAGTGGAGAATCCGAATGTGAATATATTTTTACTAAAAAATTTTAAAAAACCAAAAAAAAATTTTTTTGTTTTTACTTTCGGATTCTTCGAAACTGTTGGGGGTTGAAACACATTACCCCAAAAAATATAAATTGTCCAACAAAAATGGAATGTGTAAAACTTTGACAAAAGGGAATTTTGGAAGCCTATTATTTTAGAAAGAAATTTCTTGGTTAAAAATTACGAAAAAAATAAAAATATTTAAGAAAAATATTTTAAAAAATAAATTTTTTCTAATTTTCAGAATGGAGTAACTGCACTTTTCAATACATACTCAATGCTTTCATTGTTGACTACATGCTTATTTGTTGGGTCACTTATGATTGCTTATTAAAAAAATAAACAAAAAATAATTTTTATAATTTCACTTTTCTTTTTTTAAACATTATTCTAATCAAATTTAACCAAACTAAACAAACTAAAGTCAATTTCTTTTAAAAAACTTCAAAAATGGCTACGGCCATTAAGAAATCCCAAATGATAAAAAAATTAAAAGGGTTTAGACACCATTTTCTATCAAATTTAAAAAAAATTGACTATTCTAAATACAAATTATTTTCTTTTTAAATACAACACTAATTAGGAGATGTGGTTCATATATTTTTTGTTTATGATAACTAAAAAAAATTTTTTTTTAATTTCTAAACTTTAATTTGAAGCACATCTCTCTCAAAAAAATTATTTTTAAATATTCATCGAATTTACACACAACTCTAACCTAAAAATCCACTTATATTTGTTTATTTCTAAGTTATCTACCTAATCAATATTTGATTGTTTATTATTGCCTTATAATTTAAAAATTGGCTCAAAAAAATTCAAAAATATTATTTAAACAGAAACGGGATTTAACACTTTAAAAGAAGCTCGGGCCGGAGGCCCGAGCTAACACCCATCTAAAAGGGAGTGCGAGGGCCGAAGGCCCGAGCTGACACCCATCTAAAAGGGAGGGCGAGGGCCGGAGGCCCGAGCTGACACCCATCTAAATGGAGTCGCGAGGGCCGAAGGCCCGAGCGACTCCCGAGCGAGCGAAAGGGCCGAAGGCCCGAAGGAACAGAAAGATTTTTCAAATCTTTCAAATTATTCCAAGAAAAAATCAAATAAATGGTTAAGTAAAATTTCGCTAATACCCATCTAAAAGGGAGTGCGAGGGCCGAAGGCCCGAGCTGACACCCATCTAAAAGAGAGGGCGAGGGCCGAAGGCCCGAGCTGACACACATCTAAATGGAAGGGCGAGGGCCGAAGGCCCGAGCTGACACCCATCTAAAAGGGAAAGCGAGGGCCGAAGGCCCGAGCTGACACACATCTAAAAGAGAGGGCGAGGGTTGAAGGATGAGTCTAAGTGGAAGGATGAGTCCAATCGAGGGGAAGACGAGGGCCGAAGGCCCGAAGGAACACATATCTAAAAGGAACGGCGAGGGCCGAAGGCCCGAGCTGACACCCATCTGAAAAGAGAGGGCGAGGGCCGAAGGCCCGAGCTGACACCCATCTAAAAGGGAGGGCGAAGGCCGAAGGCCCGAAGTGACTATAAGTGAAAGGATGAGTCTCAACTGAGAAAACACGAGGGTCGAAGGCCCGAAGTGACTCTAAGTGGAAGGATAAGTCCCAGCTGAGAAAACACGAGGGCCGAAGGCCCGAAGTGACTCTAAATGGATGGATGAGTTCCAACTGAAGTCTAATCTTTTCTTCCAGGCATAAAAAATCGCTAGCGGCGCGCGAAGCGCGCCCCCAAAGCCGTAGGCTTTCCAACGGGCAGAGCAAAATTTAAAACTAAAGTGTCGTAACCAAATGCTTCCAGCTATCCGCCGCCATCAGTGGTAAACCCATCGCTAGTTTATGATAACTAAAAAAAATTTTTTTTTAATTTCTAAACTTTAATTTGAAGCACATCTCTCTCAAAAAAATTATTTTTAAATATTCATCGAATTTACACACAACTCTAACCTAAAAATCCAAATATATTTGTTTATTTCTAAGTAATCTACCTAATCAATATTTGATTGTTTATTATTGCCTTATAATTTAAAAATTGGCTCAAAAAATTCAAAAATATTATTTAAACAGAAACGGGATTTAACACTTTAAAAGAAAATATGCCAAAAAATAACAAAAAATTTAAACGTCAAAATTTCATTCCAAAAAATTTATTTTTCAAAAAAAAATTCTTAAACTGTACCACATTTTTATTTTTTTCTATTTTTACCACTCATTTACACCACACAAACAAAAAACAATTGCATTATATCAAAAAAGCGATTGAAAGTCAATTACTATATATACTTATTTAAACAAGTGTAAATCTTTTACACACATTTCAAGAATAAAATTTATATTTTTTTTTGTTAATTTGGTATTGAGAAAAGTTGATCTCTAAATAATGAAATCCCTATTTTGCTGAAAGATAGGGAAGAGTGAGCTAACAAAGAACTTAAATATATTATTTTTTTAAATGATAAAGATAAAGAAAAACAAATTTGATATAAAAATATTGAAAAATATATAAAATTTCAGATAGATGTAGAATAAAAAAACGAGAAGGAGACATATGTAAGTGATCGACTTTATTATTTCGAATAACGAAATCAGACACTAAACTAAACGAAGGAATAACAAGAAAAAATAAAAAATTGGTAATACTTTGGAAGTCGCAACCACTCCATCCCTTTTTTCCCATTTCGTTGACCATTATGAGCTTTTTTGTTTGATATATAATTTGGGGGAAGGGCTTCCAAAGTATTACCGAAAATTAGGTATATAAAAACTCACATAGGGAAATGATACAAATTTTTTAAAGCTAAAATTGGTTTGCCTACACCCCAAAACATCTCCCATTTTAAAGTTAAATTTTATAAAATCAATAATCTTTAAAAAATAAAAAAAGTAAAATGGAAAAGGAAAGAGGTGGCACAAGAAGAAATAAGTAAAATAATTTTAAAAAAGACTGATTTCATAGAAAAGTCACCCAATCCTACATTAATTGAATCAAGAAACTAATTTAGGTAAATTTTAATCTCTCCTAATAATAATTATTGATTTAATTATATTTTAAACTAGTAATTTGAAATCGTGTGAAAGGATTCAATAGAGAACCGGGACAAGAGTCAATAAAAAATAATAAAAATTGGAAAAATCGGATAGAGAATAGTTAGAAAATTGTTAAATTTTTCAGTGGGGCTAGGTAGATGACTATCAAGTGTTAGATTTTCAAAAATTAGTCATAATTGTATTTTTGTATCAAAAAAATCAATAAAATGTAAAGAATTTTAATCTAAAGAATTACTTAACTAAATTTTCTAATTTTAATATGGGAAATACGGGGACTCAAAACTCCTTAAAAATTTTTAATTTAAAATCCCTATAAGAAATACTTTCGTAAACCTATAATTTAAAATAAAAAAAACCTTTTGTTTGAATCCCACCACCAAAAAGCTCCTTCGAAATAAAAAGCCTTTGTTCATCCTGATTTGTATAAAGCACAGCCAAATTAAATAATTGCAAATTGGCAAATAAAGAGCTCACAACAGCAAAGGAAAGCAACAAAATCAATCCACGTGTAGACGCCGGAAAACAAAATTGAATAGGTTTGTAGAAATTAAATAACATTTTTAAATATTCTAAAAATTAAAAATACAAAGAAAATTTAATAAAATCTGGGAAATAAAAATGAGATTTTTTTCGATAAATAATCATAATACCCTTTTTTTTATAAGAGGAATGATTTTAATCAAAAATAAATGGAAATTTGGATTTTGGTCGCTGAAAGGCATAAAATCAAAAAAGTTATATCCCGATAAATCTGCAAAACTAAAATATAAAATTTACCAGACTCAACAACAAATCCAAAAATATTCAAAACCCCAAAAGAATTATTTTAAAATATTTGAACAATTCTCCCCAAAATTTAAAAATAAACTGTTAAAAGAAGTTAATATGGAATACAACCAATCGATAATAAAATAAAACAAAATTTAGAAATTTATTCACAACTTATAAATTCAAAAAGTGAATAAAAGAGAAAACCGAAAAATATGTTTTAATCAATTAAAATGTAGTAAAAACTAAAATTATTTTAAAACATATTTGTGAATAAATATATCAGCCTGTTATTTGATTTTTAGATGACATAAATTACCCATAAAAAATAAAGGGAGTGTTAAACCCTAGCAAAATATTCGGTGCGGATATAATTTGTGAGCTATCAAAAAATGGAAAGCAAAAATTAATCGAAAATTAAAATATAGTCAACAAATTTTTTCCCGGTTTGTCACCAATTTAATGTTAACTCTAATTAATACCCCCCCCCCCTCCTTCCCACAATTTTCTGAAATTCAAAAACAGTACTGATATATTTAATAATTTCCTGAGGGATGAGAATAAATATTTTGGAATATCTTATTCAATAAATTATGGGATCAATATTTGTCATTTTAGGGAATAATAATTTAATTTTAAAACTTAATTCCAGTTCAATTGACGACAACCTTTGAGCGTTGGGCGAGGATTTTGTGGTTGGGAAGATGAAGGCGACTTTTTGCAAGAAAAACAGCAACGGAAACAGCAGCAGAGAAGGCAACAAATTTTCTGACTAAAAAATAAAATATTTAATTAACATGTTCAGTGCCCAAAATATTTATACATAACTAATGTCAGAATTTTTTGAAATCGTCTTTTCGAACCTATATAGGAATATAAATGAAATTCGCCAAAATATTAAATTTGTCCATTTAATTATTTGGTACTTTCTCCATATACCACCCTCCATACTATGTATTTGAGTATAAAATTAATCTTTCTCTGTTAATCATTTACTTTCCAATTACTCTTGAAAAGATTAATCAGAGACAAGAGAGAATGTGTTATGTAACAGTTAATGAAAAAGTACCAAATATTGCAATGTGGGAATAAATGAGAAACCCCTCTTGTTATGAGGAGAAACATTTAAATATATTTATTCATTACCGTCTTTTCCGTTTTTCATCCTTTTCCAATTGACTAACATGTCGGCGTATAGCATCTCCATAATTTTTACTGTTACTCCATTGATACAAAGAGATTGGATCTTCCCTCGGTGGTCCATACGTGTTGAAATAATAATTTTGGTCCCATTTGTCCAAAGACTTCCTAAAATAAACGAAATGAAATGAAGAGATAAAATTTATAAACCAAGAATCGCCAAAATATCTCGTTCCATTCAACGTTCCAGCCGTTGACGTTCCACCAGTAATATGTGTCCCAATTGTACCACTTCCACATCCAAGTCCTCTATATCGAGTATTTCTAATGCCACTCTTTATAGATTTTGTGCTGCCGGCACGCCCTCCACCTCTATTCCAATTCAGATAATTTAGACTGTTTGTGTCGAAACCATCAGAATTTTGAGTTGCGTAACTTGAAGAAATTAATATTTATGTCAGCCTATTTCTAGATAAAATTTCTTACGTAGTAATCGTATTTGTCTGGCTATTTTGTCCTCCATTTTCCTGTTGATAAACATTCTGGCGAATGTTATCACGAAAATGCCCACCCTCAAGGCCATTCTTTAAGGAACGGGCATTACGTGAATGCTGGGAGACATAATCATCCGGTTCTTCCTCAATAGTTTCCAAATCAACACTTGGACGAAGAATAGAAAATCCGCGTAATTCACACATTAATTTTATTTAAAGGTAGTTAACTAAAAAGTCATATAAAAGTTTAGAAAAATGTAACAATTAATGGCTCCTAAATACAAAAGAACAACTCTTTGTTAGAGCGATTCACTAAAAGTAACTAGGGTAAAATTCCGAGGATCTTGAATTCGGAATTTTTGCTTTACTTTGAATCGTCCTTCTGAAATCGAGATCTGAATCGACCTTTACTTAAAAAACCCGGAACGTCCCACTTGTGTACCGGCCGTTTGTGTACCTGGCCATATTTTCGGCCATAACTTTTTTGATTCTTAACCGACTTCAATTATTATTATATCAATCGAAAGCCCTGGATGTGAGGATTATTTTCGCCAACAGGATTGATTTGATCAGATCATGTTATAAAAAGTTATATCTCGATAAATGCGCTCAATCGTGATTTTGATCTTTATCTGTCTGTAACTTTTTGTATGATTATCTGATCAAATCAATCCTGTTGGCGAAAATAATCCTCACATCCAGGGCTTTCAATTGATATATTATTTATTTAAATCAATTAAGAATTGAAAAAGTTATGGCCCAAAATATGGCCAGGTACACAAACGGCCGGTACACAATGATCCCCTACCCTAAAAAACCGAAAAAGGACGATTCAGTATCGCCGATACAGTCTCGAGGCCATATTTTTGGCTGCAACTTGTTTCTTTCCGGATTTTAATAATTATTATATCAGTTGAAAGCTCAAGATATAAGGATTATTTTAGCTAAAGGCTGCTTTAGTCAAATCATTCTACAAAAAGTTACATCTGGATAAATGCCCTGAATGCTTATATAAAAAAGGTTATACTCCAAAATATGGCTTCGAGACTGAATCGGCAATTCTTTATCGTCCTTTTATCGCTGAAGAGAGACAATGTCTCATTCCTCCTTTTTTCTTTTTGCTTATTTTTGTTTAATATCGGCTAATTAATTACCCGGTTTAAATTTACTTAATTATATTTTAGTGAATTATCTACCTAATTTATTTATTCTTTATTGTTATGGAGCAGCAACAACAACAACAACCTTTATTGAGTCCAAATGTTGCTAAACTTCTTCGCGGAGAATTATTGCCGACAGGGCCACCAACTATTTCATCGGTTTATTTTTTAATTTAAAATTTAATTATTTTTTTTCTTTTTTAGCCAGTTCCAAAGAAAATCGATGTAGAGCCGGAACATTATAAAGAGCAAATACAAGTAAGGGGGATTTGTTTTTTTGAGAATTTTGTGTTTTTGAGGTGATAGCAACGAATAAATGATAATTTTTGGATTTAATTTTGAAGTAGAATTCTGGCTAAATTTGCTTTTCCCTCAGATTTTACTTAATTTCTTCCCCATTCATTTGACCGATCGGGCACATTTTATTTGTTGCTATCTTCAATTAAATTTGATTTTTCAAAAATATTTTTTTTAAAGATTTGTGTAGCCAATCCGGGACGTTTTATGGCGAGTTGGACTCTCTTGGCTTCTTTGTTTAGCGAGGTATTTTATTTAATTTATTAAAAATTCGTGGGGAATGATTAAATTTTGAGTTAATTTGAGTACGTACAAGGAAAGGTTGCGAGGCGTTCGACCTAAAAACTGTCGAGACCGGGCTCATTCGATAGAGAATGTGCCCTTTCTAGTAAGGATTTTGAGCTGTTTTTGCCAGTTTTTTGATCTGGCCAAAATATGGCCCTCCAAAGTCCCAAAATTTGGCATACTTTCCCCCTCCAAATATAAACTTTAAATAATGCGTTAAACCTCGCAACCTTTCCTTGTTAACGGATACAAATTTAAATATTAATTTTAATTAAGGCTAAGCTCTACGATTATATAAAAAAGAGCGATTGGAGTAAAGAAGAGCTGAAAAATTTTAAGATAAGCGATGAATTGGATTATGGGAATCAACAAATGAATTAAAATTTAAAATTAAGAAGAAATTATTTTTTGTTGTTTATTTGTTTCTTTCCTTATCTCTTTAAATTATTTTTCTTGTACAGGATTATTTTTTTTGATTGATATTTAAATCAGTCATATTTAATAAAAGGATTTTAGAAAATATATTTTTGTAGTTTGTTGACAGATCCGGATTGCATTCAACGGGAAACTCAGATTCGGTGACTGTCGGTAATTGGTGGCTACTTTATTTAATCCCTGTATAGCACTTAAACGGGTGGCACGCCCCGAGTAGGGAGGGTATCGGGTCCAGAGTTGTTTGCAAGTCCTGAATCAGCAAGCTATTTACTACTTGAAAGAATATGAAATCCTTAACATTCCCCCCCCCCCCTGTCAGAGTAGCCAGCCAGCCTTTGTGGTTGATTAATTACACCCAAAAAAATACAATTTTTTCAAATTTTTCTCAAATATACATAAAATTCAAATTTGAAAAGAAAATTTGAAAAGAATTATTTCTTTTATGACATCAATCAGTAAAATAGTAACATTGAAATATTAAATAAAATCTATACAGACATGGGAAAAGTGCCGTTTGTTTTTTCAAAAATTTTTCTTTGTAGAAAAGGCAAATTAATAAAAGAATATTTGGGAAAGAATATTATTAATAAAAGAATATTATTTTTGGCAATAGGCTAAAATAATTTTCCTTGTTCCGCCTTTAAAAAGAAATATTTAAAATGGAGAAGAAATTACCTTTTCTTTTATTTACACTTAACAAATTTATTTTATAAAAATTTTTTTTCTAATTTAACAAAATGTCTTCTTCACATTCAAAATTTACTAGTAATACAACAAATGTAAGATTCCAAAATAAATGTTATGTTAGTCAAGATGGTGTAGCTCATTGTCAGAGTTATTATGAAGTAAATTTTTAAATATTTTTTTGAGAGAAAAGGTTGAGGGGAAAAACTAAAGTTTTTGTAATTAAATTCGAGAATCATAATTAATTTACTAAAACTCCTTTAATTTAAAAAATATTTTTATTTTTAAAATTTACAGAGCAACACAACATATAAAACACAAAACTACAAAAAAGAAATACAACAACAAACAAATAACCAACTAACAACATCTTTAACTAATCCTATATCAACCAAAAATGTTCAAAAAAGGGAAAATGAAGTAGCTTCATTAAATTATAAATCAACACAACAACAACCTTCTTTATGTCCAAATGTCGCTAAACTTTTTCGAGGAGAATTTTTGCCTAGTGGGCCGCCAAATAATAATTTTTATAAGAAAATTATTCAAAAAAAGATGGAAGAAGTTAAAGTGCCAGAAAATTATAAAGAACAAATAAAAATTTGTGTAGCCAATCCTGGGCGTTTTATGGCTAGTTGGACTCTCTTAACTAAATTGTTTGGAGAGGTATTTTTATAAGCAAAATATTTTTTTAATTATTTAATTTTTAAGCCTCAACTTTACGATTATATAAGAAAAAATGAATGGAGTAAAGAAGAATTGAAAGAATTTGAAATTAATGAGGAATTGGATTATTGAAGTTAACAAAATTTGAATTAAAAAAATTTTTTAACTTTTTTCATTTAATATTAACATTTTCTTTTGTTTTTTTTTGTATTTTTTCATTAAATGTTTTTTTTGTATTTAAATTTTTCTTTAGTTTAAGTTTAGAATTAAGGCTTAATCTTTTTCAATATTTTTTTGAACTTTCACCTCTCCAATTGCTCTCGTGAGGCATTTTTTGTAAAATAATGAGGGGCGATAAACTACCCTAATTGAAGGAAATAAAATTATTCTCTCAAAGATAATTACGATAGAACCTTCATCCCCTTGAATTAACAAAATTATTAATTAACTTTTTTATCTTTACATTATCCTACATAATCTTTTTTCTCCCACTTAACCCCTCCCTCCCCTAGTATAAAAGTATCAATCCAAAACATTTAAAATCTTCACAAAATTTGTTCTCTTCAAACGTTCACGTATCACAATGGATGGCGATATTCATCCTTTCATTCTGTTTATTCTACTCTTCTTCGTTTCTGGCTCTCTAATGATGATGTTTTGCTCTAAAAAGAAGCCGGTGAGTATTTTTATTTTCCAAAAACTTCTTTCAAAAATTTATTTTAAGCATAAAGATGAGGGAATGTCAAAGAAGTTGAGGGCTAAGGGTAATCGAAAGAGGACTGATTTCTAAATTTTGTTTTATTTTTAAAGGCTCAAAAGGTCCTACAATAAAGAAGGATTCCGCCATCATAAGAATCACACAGGCTGAAAAGGATAAAAAGTCAAAAGCGGCAGAAAAACATCACCAGCCAGCTAAACCGCCGACTGCACCTCCTGCTAAACCGCCAGAACAAAAAATATCAAAAGTGGTTAATGATGTTGTTGCAGGAGCTGGTCAACATCAAAAGGCAGATAAAACATCGGAAGAGACAAATTCGTTTATCAAAAAAGCTGACCCGAAAAAAATGAAGAAAATGAGATTCAATAGTATTGAGGGGCCGAGTCTTAGTCTTCATGGATCGTTAGCAAGTAAATAAATTTTGTTTTAAAAAAAGCAAAAGTACAGTCTGTCCATTCTTTCTTAACCCCCAATTATATAATTGGTTCTTACACTTGTTCTTGAAAATAAACGGCCACAGCGAAAGAAATATCCTTCTAAAACGATAGAAAAGTAAACAAAGTCCCCCTAGTCACTTTAGGATAAACAACTTTTTGATTACTGTACTTAGTGACTTAAAACCTAAAATAATTTTCTTTTAAATTTAAGCATCTGGTGATGGAACAGTTCCAAAAACGGACGATATGTTAGCTGAGAATATAACAGATCCAGCATTTGAAAAGTCAAATAAAAAAATTTCGGCAAAGGGAAAGCAAGGCGAAGTTTTGCAAAAACCTGGCCAAGCTAAAAAAGGGGAAATGCCTGTTCAAGCTAAAGGAAAGAAAATTGTTCAAATCAAGAAGATAACGAAGAAAGTTGTTCCTCGCCCGCCTATAGCAGCAGGATTGATGGCTAAAGATTCTATTATGATTATTGAAGATGAAAAATTTGAACAAGAAGAAATGAAGAGAATGAAGAAGGAAAAGAAAGAAGCTGCCCTTCAAGCAAAGAAGGAAAAGAAGAAAGTTGCTGTTGGATTGGAGGCTAAGGGTCGGCCTGAAGAAAAAATCTCTTCAAAAGATAAAGGTAATTATGGGGAAAACAATAGAAAAATTAAAACTATTGTTTCTAGTTGATCAATCCAAAGATAAAACGAAGGAGAAGAAGAAGAAAGTTGGTGCTCACGCAGGAGAATTGGAGGCTAAAGATTCGATGATTGATCAACCCGAAGAAGGATTCTCTTCAAAAGTTGAAGGTGGGGAAATTGTTTGAGGACTTTATATGGAAGGATGGTTCCTTCCCTCGTTTTAATAGAAAAATCGGAATATTAGATGTACCAAACTTCTTCTTTAATTTTTTCTTCTTTCTTCTTTAAAAGAAGAATTCTTATTTAATTTTAGGAGCCTTATCCCTTGAAGACGCTGATAATGATGAGGAGGATGAAGAAATGAAGGAAGAGGCAAAAGGAAAACCTACTAAAGAGCCAAAAGCTGGAAAATCGGAAATCAAATCTGGCAAAGAAAGCAATAAAGATGATGAAAATTCGGATCCCAGCAACTAAGAAAATAAATAAAACGTAATTGATAGGTGATATGTAGATAGTATTGTATTAAACAAGTCGTAATATATATTCTATTAAAAGTATATGTAAATAAATTGGTAAAGGTTTACTAGGGTAATTTTAGAAAGGTTTGTCAGTTTCGAGAACGATTCTTAAAATAAAATCACTCTCATTTTGTTTTTGCATAAATGAAAAACATCAAGTCTTTTGACCCTTCCACCCCAAAAAAAGTAAACTAATTTTAGAAATTATTTTATTACTATTTTTAAACTCAAAATAAATTAAAATATTTAAATAGAAAATAGTGTAGACAATACAAAAAATATAGTACATACATAAAATACAGGGTTAAGGAAAGTGTAAGATTAGGATTGGGGGGTGTCCAATCTATTAAAAGGAAAATAAAAAAACATACTCGTCATTAATTTGTAACATTTTGTCACATTTTTAATTTAACAGGAAATATTTTGAAGGAGTTAATGAGTAAATAAATTATTTGTATTTAACTCTTCATTTTATTTTAATTGTCTGCCCCGGAAATGTCTCTCTTAAATATTCTCTCTTCTTTGTCTAACAGAAAATCAGAATTTAAAATTGTATTTTATTTTGTTCTGTTATTTGTAATAATTTCCGGATGTTTTGGGGGGAAAGTGTGAGGGAATAAAGAGAAAACCCCGGATTAGTCATTATGAACCGTTTAATTTGTTATCCAAAAATTTCAGAAAAATGAAGAGAAAAATAACTAAAATAAATTAAATTTACCTATTTTTAGAATTAAAAATTAAATGTATTAAAAGCCTATCTTCCATCAAAACCATTAATTAGCAATGACTCTTCCAAACTAAGTTGATCTACTACTTTGTAGTCCTTAAAAAATAAAAAGAAAATTAAAAATTATTTATAAAAATAAAAAACCCAATGTGTAGCTTGCCAATTCCTTAGCGCTTTTGTATGAAAAGCAACTGTAACTCCTAACCAAATGCAAAAGGCGGTAACAAGCACAGCACTGAGAAATAGAAGACCTAAAATAAATTGAATAAAGCTTTCTTTAAAGTGAAAAACATTTTTAAAAGTATGAGCGTTTTTAGAGTAATTTTTGAGTTTTTTCAAATCCAAAAAAGTTTTTTCTCTTATTTAAATTTCAGATCAGAGGCTAAAGGTTATTTTCTGAAGACCAAAAAAGAAAATTTACAAACAAAATAAAAGTTTCGTATTAAAGAGGGGCCCCAATAGAATATTCATCTCTCTCAAATGTGATACGGGTAATATTGAACTGAAAAGACCACCTTTTTTCCTCCCCAATTTAGGGAGGAAGAATGGGAAATAAAATATAAAAAATAAATAATCCTTGTAGGCAAAAATTAGAAAGGAAATTTGGATTTGCAAAAATATCAAGGGCGTATCCAGGGGGTCGGTTTCGGGGGGGGGGGGCTAACATTGAGTGTGCGCCAAAATTTTGGCGTTGACTTTGGCGTTCCGAACGCAAATTTTTTTGTACATAAATTTTCATCACTTCAGCGCTGCAGGCGAATTTTTTTTGAATTTTGGAAGGCCGTAGGCCAAAAAAATTCACTTTTTTTGCGCAGCAGGCGAAAATTTTTAAAATTTAGAAGGCCGTAGGCCAAAAAAATTCACTTTTTTTGCCCCAGCCCTTCCCCAAATTTTTTCCTTTTCCCCATTTCGGGGGGGGGGCTCTAGCCCCCCCCCCCCTGGATACGCCCTTGAAGTATTCATCCGTCTCAAATGTGATACGGGTAATATTGAACCGGACAGAAGCTCGTTTTCTCCTCCCTAATTTAGGAAGGAAAAATGGGAAATAAAATATAAAAAATAATCCTTTTTGTTTGATTGTAGGCAAAAATTAGAAAGGAAATTTGGATTTGCAAAAATATAGGGGAAAAATTGGGGAAAAAAGGGGGGTCTGTCCGATTCAATATTCAATAGAATTTTCTAAATTCAAAACAAAATTTTGACGGATTAAATTTAAGAAAAAACCTATAGCAATTTCAAATCTCAATTCTCCAGAAATTCCCAAAGTGCTTTGAGTACGGTTTTCATTCTCTTCTCTAATTAAATGTGCTGAAGATATTGTACATACTGTTGAACTAACAATAACTAAAGGAGTTATTATTAAAAAGCAAAGGAAGTCCAAAATTAAATTTCGTCTAGCTAAACGAGCATCTTCATCTTTTAAATATTCCCAAATTGAACGTTTAGTCCTTAAAAATTGAAATAAAAAATTTAAAATTAATTTAAAAAAACCGTTTAATTTGAAAAGGAAATTGACAAATTTCACAGCAAGTCCTTTAAAAATGATAAAAAATAATTTTAAAAGAAATTTCCAAATTTTAAATATTAAAAGGAGGAAAAAAAAGTAAAATAATTCAATAAAATCCTAGATTATTGAAACTTTTGAACCGTAAGAGATCTCAAAATAGGGCAGTCCTGCCGTTTAAGGGGGCCACCGTTTATAAGATGCGTGTATTTCATGCTCTCTTCCTAGCAAACAACGGCGGCTAACTTAAACGGCAGGAGTGCCCGATATAGTTTCTTAAAAATCTACTTAAAGTTTAGGATTTATTGAAAGATAAAAAAGTAAAACTAAAAAGACCATAACGAGTAAAGAAAAATTAAAGTTTAATTAACGAAATGTACTATTAATACTATAATTTATATATTATTGACCATTTATTCTGTATATTTTTTGATCGCGCGTCAAACATGACGTAATAAATTGAAATATTAAAATAATTAAGAAATAAACAAACTTATTAGAAACAGCCAACCATTTGCCTAAACAAGTTCGATGATAAAGTCCCATAGTTCCTTTACAATGACAAGGAGAAATTAAAGGTTCTCCAGTTTTAGGTCCAGAATTTTCAGTACTATAGCAAATACGACAAATAGCAGGGCCGTTAACTGGTGGCTGCCAAACAGGCGGGTAACCAGCCAAAATTGGAGAAGCAATAAATTGAGAATTGTTGTTGGTATAAGTTGGAGAATCTTGTGCAAACTTAAAAAGAATGTAAAAAATTTTATGTCATTTATAAATAAAAACTTACGCTAACCCTTCTAACACCATTGGATACCATAACACGCTTTTCATCGATGGTGACGGAATTAATTGAGGAGGCATAAGAAATCATCATTAATTAAAATTTTAAAGTTTATATTATGATTCCTGCAAAATTAATGAATTTACGTGTTTAATTGTAAGTCAAAAGGCCAAAAACATGATTCTTAAATGCCTATACAGAAGAGGTGTGCCTTTCGCCTTTCCATCTTTCGCCAAAATTGCGCCGGACTTTCGCCTTTCATGTTTCCTTTTTAAATTGACTTTCGCCTTTAAAAATAAGTTTCGGCACACCCCCTCTATACAGAAACCGAAACTAAGATTTTATACAGGTCTTCAAGGCCTAATTTAAAACTCTCAAACAACAATAAATTATTAAAAGATATTCAAAGGAAAATAAAACTAAAAATCAAACAAAAATTAGTAAAAGTTAAGATTTATATGTATGCATCAATCAGCCATTTTCAAAAAAAATGTAAAATTAAAATATTAAAAAATTGATAGTAAAATGTATGTAGAATAATATATTTTATTATTGGCTGTTAAAATATTTTTTTTTCTTTTGTTTTCATCATCCATCATTCACGATGTGTTGCCCAACGACTAATTTCAAGCTCTTGATGCAAACGCTTCTTGTGGTCAAGTTCTTGTTGTAAACGCTCCTCCAAGTCTTGAACACGCTTAATTAAATAAGCATTTTGAGCAACAAGAGCCTCAGAAAGTTGCTGAAAAACATTTAAATTTATAAAAAATGTAAATTTACATTAATCTTCCTAACACCATCGAATAATGTATGACATTTCTCGTCAATCGTTCCAGAGTTTGATGATGAAGCATAAGAAGCCATTATTTATTAAATTAAAATTTAGAGCAAAATTTATGATTTCTCCTACAATTCCATTTAGGTTATTTTAGAAAATTTATAAAAACATTGTTGAAAAACAAGAGAGAACCAAATAAAAAACAAGAAAAAAACGAAAAAAAATTAATCTGTAGGACAAAAATTCATCAAAAATCCTTTTTTGCATTACGCCAAAATTAAGAACATTTTTAAACTTTGCAAGGAAAAAAACAGGTTGAGAAAAATGTCGGGTCGGGGTTTCAAAATTTTCTTCGGATCGGGTCGAAAAAAAGTCCAGGTATCGGGTCGGGTCAGTTAAAAATTTGAGCATGGAGCCAAATTTTCCGGAGAGGTTGGGGGATATCAATCATTTTCGGGATTAATAAGAGAATACCTATATTTTTTGCAACCCATCCTTTATCTTGACTTTGAATAATTATCTAAAAAATGCATGACTAGACATTTAGATCCAGATTAACATAACCATTCATCAATTCAAACCAAGAAAAAGGATTTTAAAAATTCCCTTTAAATCGAATTCTAAAAAATTTGTCTAATAAAATTATTTTCACGATCCAAACATTATTTGCCTATAAGGCCAATTTACTCAAAATAAGATAAAAGTCACGATATAAATTAAATAATCAAAATATATTTAGAGTCAATTATATTTTTGTTTTAATTCCAACAAATTGGCCTCTTCTCAAAATTTTATAATTATCTTCTCTTTAATTCTTTAATCAAGATCAGGCTCTGGCGCCTTCTTTGGAGGTTCTTGTTTAAATGGGGTCGAGTCATCAGTGTCGCCTAAAATTAAAAAAATAGTCAATTTAAAAAACTATTTTATTTACCAGTAGGCATATTAAAAGCATTCGGGTTAAACCCGCCACCACCTTTGCCACCCATCATTCCAATTAAGTTAAGAACATTTGGATCATTCAAATACTGGCCAATTTTTGATGGATCCTTCTTGATTTCTTCCATAATTTTCTGAATTTAATTTTGAAAAATTTAAAGAAAATTTTTAAAAATTTTACGGCTAATTCAGGATTGTTCTTGAATGATTCAAAGAGTCCTGGAGGAACGTCCTGAATATTAAAAATATTTTAGATCAATTCCAATGTTCAAACTCACCCCATCAAAATCATCACTATCCTCACCATATTTCTGCTTATTCTCTTCAGCTGCTCGCTTATTCTCCTCCTGAGCTCGACGAACACGTTCTTGGCGAGCACGAGTCACTTTCTCATCAGCGAGGCGTTCCTTAGCACGTTGATAATCGTGAAGCTTCTTTGCCTAAAAATCAACTTTTTAACCCAACATAATAAATTTTAAAGAAAATCGCTTCACCCTCTGCCCTATTCTAACAAAAACAAATTTTATTTTTGATTTTTGTTCAAGAGAATTTTCCGTTCATCTCTAATTTCATCATAGATAGCATTAAATTATCCAAGAATCTTGACAATAATTATAAGAACTTACATTTGGCTCTACTTCTTTTAACCATTCATTCGCCTGGTCATCGTAATCCAATTTGCAAGAAAGAGCCAAATCAAGATGTGCCTCTGCCCAATTACCCAATAAACTAAAAAAATATTTAAAATAACTTGAAACAAAAAAACCGATGAGCCCTTCCACGGAATTTATAAGCAGCAGCCGAGTCAGGATTAATAGCAATAGCCTTGTCACAATCTTTTATAGCCGCAGAAAGCTTTGCCATTTTAAGTAAAGTACTAAAAAAAGATAAATGTAATTTAAATACTAAATTTTAAAAAATACCTTGCCCTTTTAGCATGTAAGATGGCCAAACCAGGATTGAATTCAATTGCTTTGGTATATTCCTCAACAGATTTCTCATAGTCACCTTAAAAATAAAAACAAAGTTCTCAAGAATGGGTGTGATCTAAAACTTAAAAAACTAAAAAATACACACATGAACGAGATAATATGTAGGTATTCAAGTTTTATCTTGCCTAAGCCCTTGGCAAGGGCGTATCCAGGGGGCTAGAGAGACACCCACCACGTAAAAACTTAGGTTAAATGACTAAAGTTTAAGGAAAATACCGTCAGCAAAAGCCATCTGCGCTGCCTGACGATGTTCCTGCGCCTTTTCCATATCTTCATCACTAACTTCCTTCTCTGGGTCACCCATCGCATATTCTTCCCCACAAGTCTTGTCTTCAATAACACCAGAATTGTCTAATTCAGGAAGTGGCAAATCAGATTCCTTCTCCTCCTCTTGAGTTTCTTCAAAAGTCTCCTCAGGTTGTCTCTTAAAAGATTCCGATTTTGAACCTCCAGATTCAGTTCCCGATGGAATTTTAGCTCCCAAACTAAATTCTAAGTTAATTATAATTTCATTCAAAAACAAAACCTTTCCAGATATTCACGATAAAAGGCATATTGTGGCTGATGTAAAAGTCCCGGATTAGCCTTACACATTAGAACAAATTGCTTAAGAAGACTAAGCTGTTCGTCGGTCATTTCTGTCATCAAAATCTTTAAAAAATTTTAAAAAAATTTTAAATGACGTTATGAAATTAGAATAACTAAGGAAAATGAAAAGATTAAAGTCAAATGAAAAGATTTTTCTAGAGAGCACCCGATTAGTCGCGAACTAACAAATAAGCGGCCGAAAAATCGCGGAGCTTCTATTCGTGCATTTTTTTGTACTATTTTTATTCGAAATATAAATTCTGGCGATTAAACGGCTTGCGACTACTTGACTCGTTTTTGACATTTGAGTAAAATAATTTCATTGACATTTGAGTCTATTCTCTTTGGCTGCCGGCTGGTTCTTTCCATCGGGTAAGATTTTCGTAAGGTTTTGAGATACCCTTTGAAAAGATCCCGTTATGGGATCTCGGATTTTCGATTTTGTACACTGAAGTTCAAACTACTTAAACTACAGTGAAATACTGAATTCAATAATAAAATACTGAATTCAATAATAACCCAAGTAATTCAAAAATTCATCCCTATTAAAAAATTTGGTGAGAAAACACCCATGAAATACCCTAAAGAGATTAGAGAAATAATCAAACAAAAAGCTGATGCATGGAAAAAGCTAAAATTAGGGGAAATTAGTAAAGAGAATTATAAAAGTCTTGAAATTAAATGTAAATTACAAATAGGAAAATATAAAAACAACTATCTATCGAAAAAAATAGGATCTGGACACATAGGGGAAATACATAAATTAATGAAAAGAAATCGATTTAACTTCTCTGGTATACCTATACTTAAGGAATCTGAGGAAGGCGACCCCATAATATCCGACACAGACAAAGCAAATAAATTTAGAAATATTTTTGAAGAAATAGTTAGTGGAGGTAAAAACAATATACAAGCAAGCCTCGTAGCTGAGGACGAATATCAGGAAGAAATCACTTTTGAACCATATATAATAGAAAAACTATTAAAAAAGCTCCCAAATAAATTATCCCATAGTCCTGAGAATATCAACCAATATTTTCTAAAAAAATGTGCTACCCCCTTAGCTCTCCCTCTCTCAATTTTATATAAAAATACATTTAAAACAGGAATAGTCCCTGAATTATGGAAAACAGCCCACATTCTACCGATATTTAAAAAGAAGGGTTCGGTAAACGACCCAAAAAATTACAGACCAATTGCTTTAACATCCCCGACTTGTAGAGTTTTTGAGCGTATTATAGCAAATAATATCTTAGAACACCTTAACAAACAAAAATTAATCGCAGAAGAGCAATTTGGATTTTTACCGAAAAGCTCTTGTACAATTCAAATCTTATCATCGATGCAAGACTGGTATAGTTCACTTGACAGGAAAATAGGTACAGATGTTATATATTTTGACTTTGAGAAAGCCTTTGATAAAGTAAACCACGAAATACTTATTAGAAAAATGCAAGAATTAAAAATAGATAGGTTAATAATTCAATGGGTTGCGAATTTTCTCTCAAATCGATCACATAGTGTAAAAATAGAAGAACATTTTTCCGAACCATTTATCCCAAAAACAGGAGTCCCACAAGGGACAGTCTTAGGTCCATTACTTTTCTTAATTTATATAAATGACCTTCCAAAATATATTCCACAAAATGTTAAAGTAAAACTTTATGCGGACGATTTTAAGATTTATTCAGAAATTAAGACGGAAAAGGACTGTATAGAGTTACAGGGGGCTATAGACAATGCGTGTAAATGGTCAGAAATGAATCAACTTAAATTCTCTATAGCAAAAGTAAAGGTTTTAAAAATATACAATAAAATTAGGTTTAATTATGAGATAAATGGTAAAAAAATCGAAGAGGTTAATAACATAAGAGATCTAGGTATATACATAGATAACAAGCTAAAGTTTGATCATCATATATCAAAAATTACCAAATCCTCATTTATAAGAATAAACAATATCCTAAGAATATTACCAAAAACATTACCAATAGAAACATATGTAAAAGCATTCAAAACATACGTAAGACCCATTATGGAGTATTCCACCGAAAATTTTAGCCCCAAATTAGAATATCTTAATAAACAATTAGAAAGACCACAAAAAAGCTTTACAAGGAGAATTTTAAGATATAAATACAAATACCAGAAAATAGAATATAACGAAAGACTAAAAAGATGCAAACTCCTTCCCTCCAATCTCCGTCGTATAAAAACTGATCTTATGACAACCTACAAAATAATCATGGGTTTCTATAAAATAAATCCAGAAAAAATATTTTCAAAACCTAATAGAATTAATCCGCGCTTACATAAATATCAGCTATTCAAAAAGCAAGCCAAAAATAATCATTTCTTTTCACATAGAGTCATAGATAGGTGGAATAAACTTCCAAAAAAAGAAATTGAAAAAATCAGTACTATACCGCAATTTAAAAAATTTTTAGACAAAATATTAACCACAGAAGATTATAATTTATGAGTATGAATTAATGGAGTGTATTAACATAAAATCCTAACCCAAATGTTCACTTTCTTACCTAAACAAATTTACTCAACATTTAAATAAAATTAGTTTTAATACAAATATTTTTTATATACCCAAATATACATACCTATATATTTTTTTATGGCATTTAATTTTATACATTTAATTTATTTTTTCTGTGGAGTCCATTATTTATTTTTTTTTTACAACTTAACATTTTTTTTAAAACAGTCATATTTTATTTGTTTTTTTTTATTGTACGTTACCTCTCCATAAGTGATCCCTGTGGATCCAGGAGTTTTATTTTATTGTTTCACACTTATTTATTTGTGTTCGATAAAGAAAAAAAAAAAAAAAATGCCCTCCCCCATATTCTGCCTTTTTTTATTAATCAATTTTTTAACTTTCAGTTAATTTTTTTATAGATATTTTTTTCTATATCTAAAAATGGAAAATAATAATAAGAATGCTGCATCCATTTATCCATTTAATTTGCCCTTTCTTTCATCTAAATTTTTATCTTCTAAAATGGTTCAGACTGCGAAATGTTATGAAAAACATCAACAGGTTTTTAAAATCATTTTTTTATAAATTTAAGATTAAAGGTGAGTGCATTGCCTGGCTCTATTGCACGTGCTAATCCTGATGAATTACTTGCTATATTCAATAAATATGCAAGTGTTGAAAAGTCTGGAAGGAAGTTTATGACAGCTAATGATTTCGTTCAGAGGTATTTGATTAAAAAAGGAAATTTTTTTCGCACATTAATTTTTTTCCTTATCCAAAATTTATTGACTAATTTTTAGTAAACTTGAAGCTCAAACTCTAAGAGGCTTATTTTCTAATTATTTTTCTAAAAAATTTTTTAAAATCCTCTTGTGTTTTGTCCTTTTGTTTCTTTTTATTAGAGACCGGCACGGGACGGGATCCCAAAATCCCGGATTTTTTTTGAGTTTCGGGATCCGCGATTTTTTCGGAATTTATCCTCGGAATCCCGGAAGTTCGATTTTGCCTTATTTAAATTTTTTTATTAGATATCTTAATCTGTATAACGATGAGAATTACAATCGCGAAACTGTTCGTCTTTTGGCTAGTGCTGCTGATACTTCGAAGGATGGGATTATTTCTTTTGAAGAATTTTTTGCATTTGAGGGTATTTTTTATTTTTAAAACCCCAAAAATTTATATTCTAATCAAGGATTTTGCTAACTAAATTTTTAATTTTTCATAGTAAATAAATTTTTATATTTTAAGCGACACTTTGTTCTCCCGATGCGCTCTATTTAACTGCCTTTGAAATTTTTGATAATAATGCTTCTGAATCTATTACGGCTGATGAATTTGAAAAGGTATTTAAAGTAATTTTTAAATTATTAAATCTTTAAAAGGTGATTCGCCACACAACGCCTTTGATGCAACTTGATTTTGATTTCGATTGTGAATTCATTAAAAAATATTTTGGAGCGTAAGTTTTTAAATAAATTTGAATTTTTTATTAATATGCAGTTTATAAACTGAAATTTTCCTTTTTCCTCCCTCTTTGATATTTTTCTATTTTCTGCACATTTCATAGTATGTTATTGTCATTAATTTATACGGGATTTGAGGGCCGTAGGCCAAAAAAGTTCACTTTTTCGACCATCCTTCTCCTAATTTTTTCCCCCTTTCCCCCATTTCGGGGGGGGGGGGGGGGGCTCTAGCCCCCTCCCCAGCCCCCTGGATACGCCCTTGCGGGACATTCTTTGTTTTATGTGCCGCTTTGGGTGGGGCTTTTATCCTTATGACACCTTTTATCCTCTTGCCTTTTATCTTTGGTACATGAGCTCTTCAATTTTATAATTTTTGCTTACATCAATATCAAAAATTTTTGTTCAGAAAGAAACAACGATCAATAGGCTATCATGCCTTTTGTCAGCTACTACATGATTTTTATGAAGAACAAGGAGTACAAGCATTTAAAAGGTTTTACTTTGAAAGTAAGATAAACTTTTTCTTTAGTTTTGACAAGGAAAATGATGGAAGTATATCAGCAAATGATTTTTTTACAATTATGACTACTGTGAAAGGCCATTTACTTACTGATTTTTCTAGACAAAATTTGATTGCAGTTGCTGGTGGAGGGTCTAGTGCACATAAAGTTAGCTTTTTATAATCTTTGGATATTCTGTCAATTTGCCTCGTTTGTACTCATTAACATTCTGTTCTATTTATAGGTTCGCTTTCCCTTCTACCAAGCTTTTAATTCTTTGCTTGCAAAAATGGAGTTAATGAAACGTATTTATATGAGTATTTCACGTGGAAATATTGGATTAATGGTTACGAGAGAAGAATTTCTCCAAGCGACTCAAGCGTATGCTCAAATTACTCCGTATGAGGTTAATTTCTATTTATCAAAATAATTTTCAAAGATTCAAATGTCTTTGTGTGACGTTTGAAGCAATTTCACTTAAAAATATTTTATACGTTAAGGTAGAAATTCTCTTCCGTTTGGCAGAACTCAATCACCCAGGTACTCGTGCAATTGACTTGGCTGATTTGGATAAAATTGATCCTGAGCGACTTAAAAGAGTATCTCAAATCTTTCGTATAACAAATGTTAAAGCTGTAGAAAATAAAGAAGACCGTGGATTTTTTGTTGCGGTATTTCTTTAATTTTTAAGCTTTTTTAAAATTTATTTTAAAGCTTTTGGAAAGTATTTATCGATTTTCTCTTGGTGCAATTGGGGGAATATTGGGTGCAACATTTGTATATCCTATTGATTTGGTCAAAACACGTATGCAAAATCAACGTACTGGATCCTATCTTGGGGAGGTTATGTACAAAAATAGGTTTGTTTTTTTTTCATTTTTTAGCTTCTTTAGATGATTTACTGAAATTTTTTTGTTCTTTTTAATTTTCGATAAGTTCTTAAGAGTCGTCCTTGGGACCGTACAGGAATGACTCTTTCCTTTATAGTAATATTCTTTTTTATTTAAATATTTCAGCTATGACTGCTTCAAAAAAATACTAAAATTTGAAGGTATTTTTGGTTTTTATCGTGGCCTGTTACCTCAAATTATGGGGGTTGCGCCAGAAAAAGCAATTAAATTAACTGCAAATGATTCTGTTCGTGATATATTTACAAAAGATGGACGAATTCCTTTGTATGGAGAAATTTTGGCTGGTTTTAGTGCTGGGACTTGTCAGGTATATTTTTTTAATTAAAAAATTTTTTTAAACATTCGATTTTTTAAATGAATAAACAATCATTTAAAAATTGTTTTATGGTTTTTTTTCTTAACAAATTTGTAATTTAAGTAATTGAACTAATTGTAAAATAATTCAGAAAATTTTTTCATTTTTTTTCTGTTCAAGTAACTTAACTTATCGAAATTAATTAAAAGTTATATTTTATTTTTAATTATATAGGTAGCTGTCACAAATCCATTAGAAATTATTAAAATTCGCCTTCAAACTGCTGGTGAAATAATTAATGGTCCTAAAGTGCGTTTACTCGACGTTATAAAAGATTTGGGTTTTAAGGGTCTTTATAAGGGAGCAAGGTTAATTTTTTGATATTTTTTTATCTATTTTTAAATTTTAGAGCTTGTTGGTTACGTGATATTCCTTTTTCGGGTATTTACTTTCCTCTTTATGCACATTTGAAGCTTTTAACTGCAGATTCTCAGGTTTTTAGGAGTGATAATTGACGTATATTTTTAATTTTAGGGTTTAAATAGTTCCTTTTCTTTAATACTTTCGGCTTTGATTGCTGGGGTGCCTGCCGCTGCACTCGTTACACCTGGTAAAATTTATTAATAAATTTTTAATTAAAATTGTTTTTAGCTGATGTTATCAAAACACGCCTTCAAGTAGCGTCTCGAGCTGGTCAAACTACTTATACTGGTGTTATTGACTGTTTTAGAAAGGTTAAGAAAGAACAGGTTCAAGTCGTGTACTAATAACAGTTTTTTAGTGTACAGATCCATTCTCAAAATATATAATTATTTTATTAACTTCCCAAAAACTTTATGGTAAAAACTAAAAACTGTCAAAGTGCTTACTTGAGATAATTAAACAATTTTAGTACGCATGTAATGATAATTTTATTTTCTTTTTAGTTATTGCATGAAGAGGGTCCTGGTTCTCTTTGGAAAGGAGCAGGAAGTAAATACTTTTTATTGAAGAAAACATACTGACTTAATAAATACCAAAAAATAATTTTTAAATTTTTAGCGCGTGTCTTACGTTCTAGTCCACAATTTGGCGTCACATTATTTACCTATGAATTATTACAACGTCTATTTTATGTTGATTTCGGAGGGAATAGACCTAGTGGATCTGAGGTGATTGTGGATTTTCAAAATTATTTTTTCTTTTAATTTTTTAGACTTCAACCCATGCAACAATGCTAGATCAAGCTTCAGCCAATCCTCATCATATTGGCGGTTACAAACTTGCAGCAGCCACATTTTCTGGAATTGAACATAAATTTGGACTGTTTCTCCCTCGATTTGAACGCCGCAATGATATTGCGGTTACCGGTTAATATGAAAAATTTTTTTAATTAGGAAAGATATTTTAGAGTTATAGTTCAGTTAATAATAAAGAATTAATATACCGTATTTATTCTAATAGAATGGCCCCTCTAATAGAATGGCCCCTCCAATAGAATGGCCCCTTTTTGGGGGTAATGAAAAATAGAATGGCCACCTCTATTTGAATGGCCCCTCCAATAGAATGGCCCTTTTAACTACAAAGTTATACCTCAATAATTTCTTTATTTTCTTATTGCTCATTAAATATTACTCATTAGTTAGGATAATCATAATATTTTTGAGCAAATCTGGAGTCATAAAAGGGAGATTAAAAGGAATATCAGGGGATTTGAGAGGATTAGAAGTAATATTACGAAATTACAACGATTTACTGAAGAAAATATTCATGGAGTGGATAAATTAGATTTATCAGGGAACTTGCTGGGATACATAGAATTTACAGGAATAATGATGGATTTGTGAGATTTGGTATAGTAATGTTAATTGATATAACTCTGTATTGATATAACTTGAAATTAATCTTGTTCCATAGGAATTGATAATCTAATTTCATGCAAAATTCTAGAAATTTCAGGACCCCTTGACTCTTTTGAATTTACACACTTTAGAATTTTCAGTACTCATTAATCCTTCGATAACAATCAAATTCATCAATATCCCTCCGAATCTCTTCCGATTCCAATATATTACGTCCAAATTCCAAGATTCCACGGACTTTTAGGAGCCAACTGTACCGGAAATTTTGATTGTCTGGCACCGAAGTAAATAAAAAGTTGCCTTTTTGCCCAGCAGGCAAAAGACTTTTATGTTTTACAGTGTTACGAAAAGAAAGATTCACTAACCAAAGTAGAAAATATAGAATTTTACAAGAAAAATCGATTAAATTTCGAAGTCGAAAGATATTCGATTGGACAATAGATTCATCCAATCTCAGATTCTAAGCTATGAAAAATAGAGTGGCCACCTCCATTAGAATGGCCCCTCCAATAGAATGGCCCCTATTTGGGGGTATCGAAAAATAGAGTGGCGGCCATTCTATTAGAATAAATACGGTATATTTTGTTGTTTTGTAAATAGTGAAAAGTGAGGAGGGTATATTTTATGTATGAACATCATTTTTATCAATTTCTATTGGAATTATTAATTAGAATTTTAAAAAATTTGTAAAAATAAAGAATTAATTCTTATCTTCTTCACTTTTCACTCAAAAAAGCATAATATAGGAATAATCAAAATATTAGGTATCAAATAAATAATTTTATCAAAAATATTTGTGCATTTATAAATATTTTATTTTTTCCTTTTCCCGCTTTTAGTATTAACACTCAAAGTTATCTTTAAAAAATATTGTTTATTTTGTACTATTTTAATTAATATATAAAATTAAATCAGAATTTTATATAAACAAATTAATCTAACAAATATTTATAATTGGGAAGAAGGAAAATTTTTTAGTTTCATCTCTAAAAATAATTAAATTAATTTTGGACTATTGGGAAATTTTTTAAATTTAATTTTTAATTTAAAATATTTAAAAAAAATTAATTTAGAAATTAGAGCTTTTATCTTTTTTTCTCTCAAAGTTTATACCTATATTAATTTGTATAGCTTTTTTGTCGCATAATTTCTGCCCAAAATATTTTTCTTTTTTAAAAATCTCGTAGATTGCCTTTTATTGAAATTAATTGTGTCCTTTGAATGAATTATTTAAAGCATTAATTAATTTTTTTACAAAGATCTGAATTTTAAAATTTATTAAAAATTGTTTGAAATTAAATAAATTTAAACAAAATTTAAAATACAGATCTCTCTTAATGCTTTTTAATAATTATGTATTTAGTTTTTAATATTTTATGATAAATAGTAGAAAATTAATTTTTATAAATATTATTTTTATTTAAATTTCATTTTTTTTTCGAGTTTAAAAAATTTTGAATTAAAATTTAAATTGATATTTAGTTAATAATTAATATATAAGAAAATTCCTTTTCCGGAAAGGATTTTTAAAATATTACGTAAAAGTAAAAGGGGAGAGAGGAATCCTAACAAAATTCTTGATTAATGGGAGCTCTGTACTCTCTTTTATTTTTAATTAAAAAATTAGAAAAATTATATCATAAATAGTATATATTTGAAATTTTTAATTAAAATATTTTTTGATGATTAATTAAAAATGCATGAAATTAACCAAAAATAACGTTTTTTTATGAATAATTTAAAGGAAAGGTCTAACTAAATAAATGGCACTTTTCATCAATCAAATAAATAAAAAAAGGCAAAAAAAACAACCAAAAATACGTGAAAATGCAAATTTGGTTTGGCTTTTTAAAATTATTTTCTTTTAGCCAGACTTGAAAATAATGAAAAAAAACATATTATTTATTCTATTTATTATTTTTAAGTTTGTACCTATTTTTTTTAATTTTTCGGCAAGTTTATACTTATTTTTATGTTCATTTAAGGAGGATTATTACTGTTTGACTCTTGATTTGACTCAAAATTTGAACTAGGGGTTTTTCAATGCTTATTGTTAGTTTGACGTTATCCAGTGATTGTTTTAAATATTTACATTCGCCGCTTTTTACCCCAAATTTTTATTCCAATTAACTTTTTAAATTTTATTTTTTTGTTCTTTTTGTATTTTTAAATAAATTTCCGGTTATTGCCGTTCGCTCTCATAAATAAATAAATAATTTATTGTCCTCTTTTCTCATTCTTTTTTTTTCTCATCTTGCATAATTTGTCCTTCATTTTATTTTTATTTTCTGACACCTCGACCTCATTTCTCTCACGCTTCTTCAAATAAAAATAGGTAGGCATATCCCTTTTTCTCCAGCTCTTCCATTCAAATGTTCATTAACCGTTCATAACCCTCATCTACCTACCTTCCAAATGAACACTTTTGATATCTTTAATAATCTTATTTTTCCTCAAGGTTCTTTTATTAATAATGTAGAACACAACTTTTTAAAATTCAAACGGGTGGGTATATGCCACACTACCAGCCAAATTTGTTTTTATGAATATTCTTATTCTTCTTTTTTTGATCCATTTTCCGTGATCCAGGTCCTTCCATAATTCATTAGCTAATATTCTTTTCCCGTGACTAGGTGAGTTTCTCACTTAATATATCCCCTCCATTAGAATTAGCTACCCAAAAATTGTCAAATAAACTTAAAATAATCTGTCATCCCTAATATATATCCATTTCTGCTTTAAACCCCCTTCTTTGTAGCAGCTGTTGTTTCCCCCTTCTTTATCCCCCTCCATCATCTACCTACTTCTATATAGTTTTAGCCTGTTCATTCCCTCAAAAACTCATTCATTCTCCATTCATTGCCCTCATGCTCATCACAAATGCTCTTATGGCTTCAACTAAAACAAAATTATTCGCCTGGCTCTTCCTCTTCTTCAATGTGGCCTGACTCTTACTTAGAAAAAAAGAAAGAATATAATGTACATTTTTATTTTTATTTTTTCTTGCTTTAACCCATTTTTCTTTTTCTTTTTTTGCCTCTTAATTTTGGCCGCCTTTGACATAAATAAAGGCGGCATATTAAAAATATTGTAAAAGAAATGTATTTATTACTTTTTTTTTGTTTTTTAAAAAAAGTTTTGTTGTTTTAAAACAAGTTTTATTTTTAAAAGAAAAAATATTTTTTCGAAGGAAATAATGTACAATATAGGTGAACTTAAGTTATTTAAAAATAATTTTTATTTAAAATTTTTAGTTAGAGATTATTCACTTAAAATTATTTTAATTTCTAATGGCGCTGGAGTTAACTGATTAAAAGAATTAAAAACAAATTAAATATCCAAAAACTTTAAACATTCTCTCCTCCCTTAAAATCATGACCAGAAATTTTTATTTAAATTTTTTTAAAAATATTCTTTAAAAACCAGTCTTTTAATTTATCATTTTCTCTCCTAATTTTCTTTTTATTTACCTCTATTTTTGTTGTTATTAACGGCCATTTATGGAAATTATTTATTTATTTTTAGAGAAACTTTTAAATATTTAGCGAATAAATATAGACGTAATTATTTTTTAATTTCTTTAATTTGTTTTTATTAAAATATATATTTTTGTTGACGTAATTGATATTTAAAAGTTTTATTGTTTATTTTTTAATTTTAATCTCGAGAGAAAGAGGGGGGAGGGGGTTTGAAACTTTTTTAAAAAAGCCTAAAATGTTAGTTCATATTGGTGATCTACATATGTAGGTTTAGAAAAATACGTTGATATCCAAACACGCAATTTATTCCTTCTTGTTAACACAACTACATAATATTTTTGCTTATTATTTTTTTTGTTTATTTTCTTCAATTAAAATTCTCTATTAATTTAGAAAATATTAAAAGCACTTTTTTAAATTTATTTTTGAATTTTCTGCAAATAACTCTCCTCTCTTTTTTTTTATTTAAAAATATTTTTTACCCAATTAATTTATTAAACTAAAAATACGCAACTTTTATTTAAAGATTACCCGAATTACGTAAATACTTAAACTGAAAAAATACTTTAAATATTTAAAAATATTATATATAAATTAATTTTTCAGAATTTATAGAAAGCTTTGGAGAAATAAATAATAATTATTCTGATATGTTTAATTTAAATCCTGATTTTATTTTTTTTATTCCAAAATGAAATTTTGATTTATTAAAATAATTATTTCCCATTGTTTATTCTGATTTTTAAATTCTTGTTTAGAAAAAAAACTTTAGAATTCTGATCCAATTAATTATTCAATTCTGATTTAATATTACATATAATTCTTATTGTTAGGTAACTACCAATTTCTCAATTTAATTAAATTCTGATTTTTATTTTCTTCTTTTATTATTCTTTTCAATTTTTATCTGTCAGTATTTTTTACTTAAAATTGTCAGAAATTATTTAATAAAAATTATTACATGTATTTAACTAAAAAGTTTTCTCCCTTATTTTTTTTTTAAAAACCCTTTTTCCAAATTTATTTGACCATAAAAACTTTTTTTCTTTAAAAAAGCCATTGAAGTATATACTACAACAAAAATATGTACATTTATTCCCTGGAGAGAAAAAGAAATTCTTTAAAAGAACTTTTTTTAGATTTTTTTGGAGAAGCTACTTTCTATTTAAATATATTTTTTTGTTTCCGTTTGAGGACAAATTTACTAAAAAAAATTTTTTTTACAAATAATTTTAAATTCTTTTTTTTTGTTTTTCCTTTATTCTATATTTGTCTAGTTTTTATTATTTTTAATTTAAAAAAATATTTAAAATAATTATTTGCTAAAATAAATGTTTGAAAAGCTTTACTTTCTTACAACAAACCTTTATTATATATTTATTCTCTGTGTATTTTTATCTTAAAATTCTTTTTTTTAATTTTTAAAAAATATTTTAATATTTTTTAAAAATCTTCTCAATTTTCATCGTTTACAACACAAAAAATTACATATATTCCTTTAATCCTTAAATATATTTTTTTCAGAACCTTTTAAAATAACTTTTAAAATTTTAACAAAATCTTTTAAAGTTTATTTTTTAAATAAATTTTTTCCCTCTCATTTTCCCAACATTTTTTGAACACTTTCTCTTATTTCAAAAAATATTTTTAAAAAATAAAAACATATGTTTTATATTTTATTTAAACAAAATTTTTTTTTAGAATTTATTTAAGGAAAATTCACTTTTCCCATTAAACAAAATTTAAAAATATTTTTTAAAATTTCTTTTTCTCTTAAAAATTAAAAAAAATATTCTAATTTTTCACAAAAATAAATTTAATTTAAAAAACTTTAATCTCTAACCGATTATTTTACTTTATTTGAAAGAATTCTTAAAAATCCTTTTTATAAAATATTTATTTATTAAAGATTCAAGGAAGGTTTTCTAGAGGTTTAAATTATTTTTTTTATTTTCTATTAAATATCCAAATAAATATTTTCTTTATTTTTTTTATTTTTAATCTATTATATTTTTAGGAAAATGGGGGAAATTAAGAAAAAAATATTTTTTGGTATAACAATAGGGAGAAGAGGGGAAATAAAAAATACATATATTTATTTATTTTTAAGTAGACAATTGTTTTGTTTATTTTAAAATTAATTTTAATATATTTTTTTATTTAAATTTATTTTAATTAAAATTCAAAATAAAAAAAATTTTCTAAGTTAAAAATTCAAAACAAAATTTTTTTGGATTAAAAATTTTAATAAAATTTTCTCTGTCCAGCTTTATATATTTTTATTTTCAAAAAAAAATTTTTTTTCTTAACTTTTTTAATATTTTTCAAATTTAAAATAAAAGAAAATTAGGTACTTGTTTTTCAACCTTAACTTTATTTAATATTTTTGGAATATTTAAATAAAAAAATTTTTTTTAAGGAATTAAAAGCAGCAGGCTTTTCCCTTCAATTTCTTGTAAAATACACAAAACTTATTTAAATTTATTTATTTATTTTTATATTTCCCGCTGTTTTTCTTAAAAAATATATTTTTAAAAATATAACTTTTAAAATTAACTGAGTGAGTGAGATTATGTAGCCAGTAGCTTTTCTCTTTTCTTTTATGATGAAAAGCCTTTCCTGTCATGTTAAAATGACTTACTAAACATGAAAAAATAAATTTTTTCTTCAAAAAGCTGCCGCATTTTTAAAATTGGCTTTTTAAAATTATTTTTCGACTAAAATGTTTGTGATGGTTATTTGAGTATATTAAATAAGTAGATTAGAGGTAATAAATTATTTACATAGGTACATATATTCTATTTTATAGACTTTTGCTAGGAATTGAAGGAAAATGTAGATAAGGACAAGCTACATCTTAATTTAGCCAGAACTGAAGGAAATTCCCCTCATTGAAGGATTGAATTTTACAGTCTCTCTATTAGAGATCGGAATTTTGTTCCGTAGCGTATTCCGTACCGTAATACCGAAAAATACCGATACCGAAAAATACCGATGAAATTCAAAATGTTGCCGTACCGTATTCCGTACCGTATTACCGACTGTAATACCGATAAATACCGAGAAATACCGACAAATACCGATATTTTTCATCGGTACCGTATTCCGTACCGTATTTTTTTTTAAATTTTTCCGTACCGTATTCCGTACCGTACTACCGATACGGAATACCGATAAATACCGAAAAATACGGCCGTAGTACGGTACGGTCCGATCTCTACTCTCTATTAATGAGAGGCTACCCTTTCTATTAAGGACTCTCCATCTTTTAGTTTATCTCTAGTTCACCCCACTTAAAATATTTTTAATTAGCCCAAATGTGTTTATAAAAATTCAAAAAAAAAATACTCAAATATATATCCAATAACCCCATTTCATTCTCTCTTTTTTTCGGTTGTATTGCCAAATTTGGAAAATTGTGCCAAAAAAGGAAGAAAAGCAAAGGGGCGGAAGCGAAAAGAATAAGGGGAAGGGGAAAAGATGCAAAAAAGATTAACAATCCGCCCCAAAATATTTTTGTAAATTTCTTTCGAGAGCTAAAATGAAGAGTATTTGGGGTTGTTAGGGAGTGGGGATGTTTGGCGCTGTCTAAATATTGTGGACTTAATAAAGAATTTTTATACAAAAAATATTTTAGGATTATATCAGCCAATCCCCCATAAGTTTTATTTTTTTGGTTTCAAAAATCTAAATAACCCTAAATAACGTCTAAAATCTAAATAGCCCTATGTTCCTTCAAAAATTCGTTACTTTAGAAATAATAAAAAAAATTGTTTGAGCTATTGAACATATAATGATAGGTATTTTTATTTAATTTTTACAAAATTTCGTGATTCTGATTTGACAAATGACCACTTTGTATGCCCGCGCCAAAGCAATAGTGCGTCGTAACATCCCTATTCTCCTCACAAATGAATGGATTGTTGTAAAAGCCCTAAGGGCTAAAAATAAAAAAAGTTACTATTCTCTATTCAATGAGGGTTAGAAATAAATAAAAAAAAGGAAAGGCTAAAAAAAAGGAAAAACAAATTTGGCCAAATTGAACAGAGGGGAAGGGTTATTTTTTGTTAGTTTTTGGAGATTATTTGGAGAATTTTTTTGCTTTTTTTGTTAATTCGTTTA